CTGTAGTATCCCTTAGGGACTTCAAATATTAAATTTGAAACAATTCCGGTGAATAATGTCGCTAAAATCATCAAAATATCGAAATTAGGGAGGTACAGTTATATGGGGTTTATACGAAGACGTGGACCTGCACAGATAATTTTCTGTCATAGGCTGTATTATCCATTACAAACTTCAAATACCAAATTTGAAACAATTCCGGTGAATAATGTGGCTAAAATCGTCAAAATACCGAATGTCAGGAGGTACCGTTAAATGGGGGCTATACGAAGACGTGGACCTGCACAGCCAATTTTCTGTCTAAGGCAGTAGTATCCCTTTGGAACTTCAAATACCAAATTTGAAACAATTTCAGTAAACATTATCGCTAAAATCATCAAAAGACCGAATATCGGGAGGTACCGTTATATGGAAGCTATATGAAAACGTGGACCTACATAGCCCATTTACGAACTTAACCTGCCTACTGGTAAAATAAACATGTCTGCAAAATGTTAGCCTTCTATATTGATTCGTTCGAAAGATAGCGTGATTACAATAGACAGGCAGACAGACAGACAGACGCACATCGCTAAATCGACATAAAATTTTACGCCGATAAAGAATATATATACTTTGACAAACGGAATGACAATGTTAATATACCCTCCATAGTATGGTGGAGGGTATAAAAGTTATGGTTGGTTCAAGACGAAGTCTTCGCGTTAGTAGATTCATCTAATCCCTCCTTATCAACTGCTTATATTAACGACAAAGAATAGACAAAAGTGAGGCTGGGCCGACAATATGATACCCTATATCACTATGCATACTACGTAGAGCTTCTAGTAACAACTAAATGCATATATTCTGAATTTGCTCTAAGTATTGAATGCGCAATACAGCTTGAAATCGAACAAACTATATTAGGCAATTATATCATGTCCCGAATCGATTTCCTGTAAATTTAACAGAGGTATTTTTTGCTATAGTGACCTCTCGTACCAAATAGCCTTTACGACTTGGTGAAGTCTAAGATATAAAATCGCATGAGACATACATATGAAAGCTACAGCTATCTAGGAATCGATATAATCCAAATGTGGCAGACTCTAATTTTGACCAGATTTTATCGTATGATCAACTTAATTATACAAAAATAGCACGGTTGGTATATCATGTGCAAAAATTTTGAGGGGAGTATATATGGGAGCTATATGTAAATCTGAACCAATTTCGAAAAAATCTGTCGAAAATATTTCTACGCTGTTTCTTATACCTCGTACTGAATATCAATGTACTTGCATGTGGGAGCTATATCTATATTTTTGCTGATTCGAAAAAAATTGGCAGATGTTGTTCTCATCATAACCGTCACATAAAAACGATATTTGGAAGGTCTGCTTCGTCTCTGTGATTTTTTGCCTCAAAAACATGCCATTGATTTCATAATGCGTTGATTTGGTAGTCTAAAGCGCACACTCTATGTCGACGTTACTTATTACTTGGTAAAGAGAAAGGGGAGTGCTTTTGCTTTTCAGTCTTAAGGAATAGCCCATTATTTTCAATCGTCGTTAATGGGTCATTTAACTCATATAGCTCCCAGGATAGTTGAAAATTCTTTAGATTATTCGGCTCATACAACCCCCAAGTTTTGCTGGGAAGTAAAAGAATCTGCGAAGCACAAATATAACCTTAATTTTTAATTTTTTTTCTTCAAAACTGTGATCTTTTTGGTGAAAGTATCGGAAGAAGTAAGCGGATATTTCCTCGAAATATTTAGTGAATTGGAAATAATATAAAGTACTGGCTTTTCTTTATATAACACATATGCCATATTTGGAAAATGTTAATCTTTTGTTGAAATGTATCCCACGAACTGGATCTGCACAACAAAATCTTATATTGTATGAAATACATGGATGTCTAAATCTTAAATACAATGGGTTAACAATTTAACATAGTACAGGAATGTGTTGTTAAGTATTCCCGTAAATTACTATTCTTTTTAGACAACAAACCTATCGTAGTACCTCGTGATACTGCGCTCCTGTCTTATTTATGTTTCTCCCTCCACCAAGAGAATTGTGTTGTATTTGTAAAAATGTCAACTTATCAGGTTGCAACCCTCGCACAAATAAATTATTCGCCAAATAACAGCGCACATAACGACACCGAATGTGAGTTGAGTGTTGGCATTTTATCTGGCGAAAGTGTAGACTCACAGACACACACACACAAACATACATAACTGTGACCTAAACACGAACAAAGGAGCGCACACAATATACACTTTATAGCACATAGGTACATCGAGTACAAATGGTTCAATTTGTTTTCTTTGATAAACAGAAAAAATACAGGGTACTCTGAAAAAAATGTTTCGATATTAAAAATGAAAGGAGGAGAAGTAGGGGGAATCATGAATAATGGTATTCTTATTTGTATCATCGATATTAGGTTGGTGCAATTCTTTTTTATACGTATGATTAATATGAATTAGATTGCATTTTCATAACTTATATGTTTCCATTGTTTAATTCATAGTTTTACCCATGGTACAATAAAAGGTAGAGCTACCAGCTGATTACAATTTTACTCTAAGTTTGCCCGGCTTCTGGCATTTTTGTGTATGTATTTATTGTTTTGAAAAATAAAAACAAAATATTTTCAAAACAATGATTGGAAGAGACTTTAATTACGGGACACGCATTAAAGCTATTCGCCAGGTTTGCCATGGAATTGAAATATTGAACTGTTTATATCATATTTTTGAAAGAAAATCCAGGCATTTCATTCATTTCCCCCGCTGTTTAACTGATTTTAAAAATGAGAAAAAATATTGAAAAAATGAAAGCAAATTTGGCAGGAAGTGGGCATAACCTCAGGTCTGTAGTTTTACGAAGCTGTTCTACCTCCTTACTGTACCATGGTTTTACCTTTTCTATACAAGATCGTTAGTTAGTTTTAGTGTTAGAATTTCCCATTTATGGGTAGCGACCCCTTCTACTGGACGCACAATTTGTGAATTTTTGTCAAGTTAATATATTTGATTGAACTAGTAAAACAAACAAAGAAAATGGAATGCAAAGAATTTCAACTTTAAAATTAATTTCACGATATTACGACATGTATTTGTACCCTACAACACTATGTGCCGGGGGTATTATAAGTTTGATTGGGCCAAAAATTATGTAACATCTCGAAATATTGGTTTCCCACATAGGAAAGTATATATGGATCTTCCTATCTCGCCGAGCTGAATCGATCTATCTATGTATGTCCGTCCGTCCATTTGTCCCTCTGTCCATGTTAATTTGTAAACATTCTACAGGTCGCTATTTTGGTCCGATCTTCAAGAAATTTAGAATGAAGATGAGGCTAGATCCAGAATAGAAGCCTATTGGTTTTGGAGATGATAGCATAATATTTAGGTTCTACAGCTCGTAATTATAGATCAATCGACGCAGAAGTTAGCATGGTGCTAGAACTTAGGGTTGGGCAGAAGCCTTCCAATTTGAATGGTCATCGGGTAAAATTAGTGGGTGAAATAGACAATAACATTTGTGTTAAATAAAATTCAAATTTTCCATTAAACCGCGAATTTTTTTAATCCCGGCGAAAACATAAATAGACGAAAAGGTTAATTCTAACGGTTGCGTAGATGCCGATAGTAAATATATCGGATATATATAGCGAAATATATACAATGTATAAATACAAAGGATTCGAGATGTTATCTTGAATGCTTATATCTCAAGAATGGCTGGACCAATTTTGATAAATTTTGTCAATTCAGAATGCCCTCTTGGCATAAAAGTATAAAATCTAAAGAATAGCATAAAAAGACGCCAATAAAGATGTTAATATAGACTTTGTAGTATTTTGTGGCCTTTTTTTAATTTTCATATTTTTTATCGCTTGCGATTTTTTCAATTTGACTTAAATTTAAATTTCACCTTACAACACAGGTAGGGGTTATTATATACAGATTGCAATTATCGTCCGATCCTCACGAAAATTTTCACAAGGGTAGGGTAAGGTTCAGAAGGGTTTGCCCTATTGTTTTCTAAGATGTCCGCAATATATTTAGGGGTTATGGACTAACAACTAAAAATCTTCTTGATTTTGCAGTCGTTATAAAAGTCACAAATAGAAACCAAAGGACACGAAATCTCTCATGAAGTTAGAGTTTAGGACAGCGGGTAGAATTACTTACAGGCGATATCCGAAATACACAAAAGGGGAACTTCTGGCTTTTTTATGCTGATTTCGTTGACGAATAAAGTCAAATATCATAGACAAGAAAATCATATAGATGAGACTAAATTTGAAGATACAGAGCGGTCTCTTGCATTTAGAGATGATAGCAAAATATTTAGAGGTTCAAATGAACCAAAAACAGAAAAAAAATTCCTCATCACACAATTGAAGTCAATTGCCACGCCTAAGAAGAGATTTAAGGACAGGGAAGAATTCTAGCATTTTAGATGACCATTGGATTATATTTAGTTGTAAAATGGGCTACAACAACTAACAGCAAGACGGAGTGCGTAAATATTGGACAAATGCCCCTGGTCAAAATGCTAAGGCTAATATCTGGGCAGTGCTCCGTGACATAATTTTAAAAGCGAAATCTTCCAAAATGAATTTGAACATAAGGGGGCATCTTACATATTATAGTGTTGTAGGGTATCACATGGTCGCCCGGCACGACTACAGCCTTTGCTTACTTGTTAATAATAATTCTAAATTCTACAATTATTTTACTTCATATTCACTCGCAAAATTTCATTAGACCTAATAATTTATCTACACCCTGTATTCAACAAACACTTGCAAACCACTAGGACATCCCCCATACGCACTGTTGGTCATACAGATGAATTCCTGTGTATATCTTCTCTCTTATGTGAGTTTGGCGCTCCGTTTATATATGTGTGTGCGTGTGTATTTAACGAAAGGCAAGATACTCGTCATTTGTCGTTACACTCCTTGGCTGATACAGTTTTTCCCTTTTCAGTTACATCCGAAGCTTCGAACCGTTAAAAAGTATTTTACTCTGCCAATCAAATCGGAAACCAGTTAACAAAATAATCAAAATGTAAGTTTTTCTTTGTCCTGAACAAAGAAAAAATAAAAATCCAATTGAAAATTATCCTTTGAAATTGTTCGCACAATTAAAATCCAAATTAATTGCAAGAAACGTATAAAACCAAACCCATATTTGCTGTTCAATTCGATCCTAATGAAGTGTTAGCCATCAGCAATTATTGGGCAAATAATAAACGTGGGTGCGGTAACGGTTGTGTAAAAGCAAGAAATTGAGGTGAAGCGTTATGAATAAGCTAAATTTTATGAAAAATCTATGAAAATTTATAGAAAATATTGAAATAAAAAAGTGAAAATGTTCTTCAAGTGATTATGTAAGCAAGAATGAAAATTTTTCATCGAACAAAGGCGACCTCTATAGAGTTGGTGAAAAAATTTCCATGTCTCTATACTGGAATCCCAAGATTTGGAGTCTGCGTTTATCAAACGGATAGATGACATACAAAAGTGACATTCCACCACCCCTCATTCTCACACTTTGGAATAGATAACAAAATATTTGGGCCAACAGCTGTCTCCAGTGCAACAAAAACAAACACTGTAGTAATGCAAATGCCGACAGACTGTTTACAAACATTACAAAAACAGCTGATTGAATAATTATGTTGCTCTGCGCATTGGATGCTACTCTTTTAGAGATGCTGAGAGGGATTTCGAATTGCTCTCCTAGAATTTTATCTGGAACATCTGGAATCTGTTGCAGCAACAAGTGGATGAGGACTTATGCTCCCATTCATCGCCACTTCAAGAGCCTGTTGCTGTGAACTACATTCCAACTACGTTTTTAAATAATTTAATTTAACTTTTAAACCAGTAAGGAAAATTTGATAGTCGGGCGGGGCCGCCACTATGCATAATTCGTAGAGCTCCCGTAAAAACATAATTTATTTAAAGCAAATCATACCACCTATCAACGTTTGGCTTTAGAGCAGGTTTCAGAGGAAACTAATATATGGGAGGCATATCCAATTTTGAATCGATGTTCACTAAATTTGACGGAGACATTTTTATCTTTTATACCAAATAACATTGATGATATCACCTCGTGAACGATTATATTAAAACAAGTACAAAAGCTGTTAATTCGACCGGGCCGAACTTCGAATATCCTCCACCATTTAGAAAGTGATTCTATATAATTGAGGGCAGAATGATTTTAGAAAAGGAAAAATTATTTACTCCTTTACACCCATTACCGTAAGATGCTAATTATTTTTTATACCCTCCACCATACATAGTATGGAGGGTATATTAAGTTCGTCATTGCGTTTGTAACTCATCGAAATAATCATTTTAGACTCAACATTCTTGATCAGCGTAAAATTCTAAGACGATTTAGGCCTGTCCGTCCCTCCGTCTGTTGTAATCACTCTACAGTCTAAATGAATTAAGATAGGAAGCTAAAATTTTGCACAGATCTCTCTTTTATCTGCAGGCAGGTCAAGTTCGAAGATGGGCTATATCGGTCTATGATATCGTATAGCCCCCATATAACGGTACCACCTTATATTCGGTATTTTGATGATTTTACCCACATTTTCTAATGAAATGGTCTGAAAATTCACACAAGGAGTTCCTTGTGGGTACTTTATACCTCGGAGGAGAATTATCTATATAGGTCGACGATATTGTATATCCTCCATATAAGGGTACCTCCCGACATTCGGTATTTTGATGATTTTAGCCACATTTTCTAATGGAAAGGTCTGAAAATCCACAAAAGGAGTTCCTTGTGAGTACTTTATCCCTTGAAAGAGAATTATCTATATAGATCCACGATATCGAATAGCCCCCATACAACGGTAGCCCCGATATTCGGTATTTTGATTATTTTAACCACATTTTTCTACGGAATTGTCTGAAATTCCACACAAGGAGTCCCTTATGAGCATTTCACCCCTGAAAGAGAATTGTCTACATAGGTCCACGATATCGTATATCCCCCATATAACGGTACCCCCCGATATTCGGTATTTTGACGATTTTAGCCATATTGTTCAACGGAATTGTCTGAAAATCCACATAAGAAGTACATTGTGGGTAATTTATACCTCCGAAGAGAATTATTTATATAGGTCGACGATATCGTATATCCCCCATATAACGGTACCCCCGATATTCGGTATTTTGATGATTTTAGCCACATTTTCTAATGGAAATGTCTGAAAATCCACACAAGGAGTTCTTTGTGAGCACTTTACCCCCAGACATAGAGTTCTCTATATAGGTTAACGATATCGTATAGCCCCCATATAACGGTACCCCCCGATATGCGGTATTTTGATAATTTTAGCTATATTTTCCAATGGTATTGTCTGAAAATCCACACAAGGAGTACTTTGTGAGCACTTTACCCCAGACATAGATTTGTCTTTATAGGTCCACAATAACGTATATCCCCCATATAAATACCCCGATATTAGGTATTTTAAAGATTTTAACAAAATTTTCAATTGATTTTTTTTTTTTTTTTTTTTGAAAATTTTCAAATTCATTCCAAATGGTGGAGGGTATTCAAAGTTCGGCCCGGCCGAACTTACCTCTTTTTTACTTGTTTGTCATACAAATTCTGCTTTGGATACCCCATAAAATCCATATTTTTCATCATAGTATAATTTAATGGCGAAAACATGGTTCAGTCTCGTGCTACTTGTTTCTACCACAATTTGAAGTTTACCTCTTACAGACGTCCAAGTCCAAGTCTACGTTCCCAAACAATATTCTCTTGAGGTTTACAAATTCAATAGAATACAAAATTTTCTTTTCTGACCAAGTACCATCACATGCATTTGGAATTTGCCAATCCCCCATATTGGTTTGAAACTTGGACTTGGGGGTACATTTATGTGAGGACTATATTAAAACAAATGCCCTTTTGGAAATGTTTCTGTGAGATTGCTTCTACCCCAGAGTATCCTAAATACAATTTTTTAGCCAAATCGATTGGTGAATGTGGTCAAGGTACCTTTATATCTGCGCTACTCCGAAACATTGAAACAACCGGAAATAGCTAAAATCATATGAGGGTTTTCCAAATCGTGAGCATACATTGAGTTTTTTTTATACCCTCCACCTTGGAAAGGAGGGTATATTAACTTTGTCATTCCGTTTGTAACATCCTTAAATATTCGTCGTAGACCCCATAAAGTATATATATTCATAATCAGCATAAAATTCTAAGTCGATTTAACGATGTCCGTCTGTCTGCCCGTCTGTCTGTCTGTCTGTCCGTCTGTCTGTTGAAATCACGATACAGCCCACATTATTTGACGTAGAGCGCCAAAATTTAGCAGAGCAATTTGTATTGTGTCTAGGATGGTTGGTATTGAAAATGAAATATATCGGTCCACGTTCTGGTATAGTCCACATATAACGGTATCTCCCGATATTCGGTATTTTGATGGTTATTGCCACATTTTTTCACGGATTTGTCTAAAAATTGGTATTTGTAGGTCATAACGGGTCCCTGTACGTATGGGAAAACATTGCATGTATAATTCCACGTTTTGGTATAGCCCAATATAAAGGTAGCTCCCGATATTCGGTATTTTGATTATTTTTGCCACATTTTTTTACTGATTTGTCTAAAAATTGGTATTTGTAGGTCATAATGGGTCCCAGTTCGTGTGGCGAGTCATTTTAATTATAGGTTCGCATTTTGGTATAGCTGCCATATAACGGTACCTCCCGATATTAGGTATTTTTATTGTTTTTGCCACATTTTTTTACTGATTTGTCTAAAAATTGGTATTTGTTGGTCATAATGGGTCCTAGTTCGTGTGGCGAAACATTGTATGTATAGGTCCACGTTTTGGTATTGCCCCCATATAACGGTACCTCCCGATATTAGGTATGTTGATGATTTATGCCACATTTTTTCACGGATTTGTCTGAAAATCGGTATTTGTAGGTCATAATGGGTCCCAGTTCGTGTGGCGAGTCATTTTAATTATAGGTTCGCATTTTGGTATAGCTGCCATAGAACGGTACCTCCCGATATTCGGTAATTTGATGATTTTTGCCATATTTTTTCACGTATTTGTCTGAAAATTGGTATATGTAGGTCATAATGGGTTCTATCTCCGTTGGCGGAACCTTGCATGTGTAGGTCCACGATTTGGTAGAGCCCCCATATAACGGTACATCCCGATATTCGGCATTTTAATGGTTTTTGCCACGTTTCTTCTAATGTTTCCTTTACCCTAAGGTGGAGGGTATTAAAAGTTTGGCCCGGCCGAACTTAATGTTTTTTTACTTGTTTTTTTTTTTTGCAGTGTTGGCTTCTGCTTACCAAAAACTCTTACCAACATTTGCCGAAATTAGTATGAAAAATATGGTTAAACTGTAAAATATATATGAAATAGGCGTGACCTGTTTAAGCGATTTAAGGTATAGCAAGAATTTCCGGATGGATATAAATCTTTTTTTGTAAAATTTCCAATTCGTTCCACTATTTTGCATAGACCGCATATTACAGTTCGCCATAATATTTGATTTCTCATTTTGAGTTCTCAGTTCGGATTATTGTCATATTAAAGATGTAGGTCCACGTTGTTATGCTAGCCCCATAACTCTTTGTCGATTATTTTTGTTTGTTTGAATTCTGCCAACTTTAGCAGCATATACTCGTAGTAGAGATAAGTACGCATTTCAAAAACAATTTTCATTTCATTAGTAATCTTAATTCAAAATTTCTGGATTCCAGCTCTATTGGTTCATCCAAATTGTACCAAATGTAGTACCATTTTAAACACAGATTTCTGAGCTGTGTATGATATCTGATACCAAAAATTATTGTTGTGGAGTTCATATTACGCATGTGAGGGACAATAACACAAAATCGGATAAAACATATGTATGGAAGCTACAGCTATATGTAAACCGATTTTCACCAAATTTGAAATACTTATTTCTAGAATGAATTCAATCGGAATTGGCTGATATTTAACATTTGTTGCACAATAAACCTGATATTGGATAAAGATTTACACG